AAAATGTCAGTTTGAGGACTAAGGTGCACCTAACCTAAGCCATGGTATTTTCAATAATCTCATGTGCATGTGAAAGTTGGACAGTGAATAAGGAAGACTGTAGAAGAATTGATGTTTTTGAGTTATGGTGTTGGAGGATAATACTGAAAGTACCATGGGCTGCCAAAAGAACAGATAGATTTGCGTTGGGAAAACTACAGCCAGAGTGCTCCTTGGAAGCCAGGATGGCCAGACTTCATCTTTCATACTTCGGACATATTGTCAGGGGGGACCAGTCACTGTAGAAGGCTATCCTGTTTGGCAAAGTAGAGGGCTGGAGACAAAGAGAAAGAACCCCAATGAGATGGATTGGCACAGTGGCAGGATCATTGGGCTCAAGAGCAGCATTGATTGTGAGGTTGGCCTGGGACTGGACGATGTTTCATTCTGTTGTACACAGGGTCGCTATGAGTCAGTACTAACTCAATGGCACCTAGCAACAACACACAGTATTCCCTTGTTCTGTTCTAATGATTGTCTGTTGACCTCCGTACAAACTATGCATGAGCACATTTAAGTGTTTTGGAATACCCATGTTTTGTAATGCTACCATAGTTTGTGATAATCCAAACAAACGGAGGCCTTTGTACGGTCAATAAAGCACAAGTAAACATCTTTCTGGCATTCTCTGATTCCAGCAAAGATACATCTGAAATCAGTAACGATAGCTCTTGTTCCATGTCTGTCCTCTTTGGAATCTCGCTTGGATTTCTGACAGCTCACTATCTACTTATTCCCTCAACAGTTTCTGAATGATCATCAGCAGAATTTTATTTGTATGTGATATTAATGATATTGCTAAATGATTTCCACATTCCACTGAATCACTGTTCTCTGGAATGGGCACAAGTTTGGATTTCTTCCGATTGTTTGGGTGAATTGTCCAAATTTGTAGTGTGGATGACTGAGGGTCTCCAGTGCAGCACTATTTTGTTGAAAGATTTCAATTTGTTTTCCATCAATTAGTGGTGCCTTGTTTTTCACCAATGTCTTATTTCTTCCTTCAGTACGACTGGCTCTTGATCACATGCTACCTCCTAAATGGTTTAATACTAACCACTTATTTTAGGTACAGTTACTGTGTATTATTACTTCCATCTTCTCTTGATGTTTTCTGCATCATTCAATATTTTGCCAATCGAATCCTTAAATATTGCCATCTGTGACTTGAATTTTTTCTTCAGTTCTTTTAGCTTGAGAAATACTGAGTGTGTTATTCCCTTTTGGTTTTCTAACTTCAGGTCTTTGCACTTTTCATTATATTATTTGACTTTGCTATCTAGAACTGCCCTTTGAAATTTTTTGCTCAGGTCTTTTACTTCATCATTTCTTCTGATTGTTTCAGTTTGTTGACATTCAAGTGCAAGATTCAGTCTCTTCTCTGAAACTTGAGATGCTTTCATTCTTTTATGTCTTTTCAATGACCTTTTGTTTTCTTCATGTATGATGTTCTGAGAATGGTCCCTAAATTCAGGTGGGCTATACTCAACATCTTTGGCTCTCATAGAAATGTTTTAATTTTCCTTAGTTTCAGCCTGAACTTGCTTATGAGCAGTTGATGCTCTGTTCCACAGTTGGCCTATGACATTGCTTTAGCTGATGATACTGAGCTTCTTCATCGTCTCTTTCCAAAACGTAGTCAGCTTGATTCCTGAGTATTCCATCTAGAGAAGTCCACAGGTATAGTTACCATGTATGTTGTTGAAAAAAGGGTACTTGCAACAAATAAGTCATTGGTCTTAGAATTCTTACAAAATTCTCTCATGTGATCTCCCAGCATCATTTCTATCACCACGGTCCTATTTTCCAACTCACCCCTCCTCTTTGTTTCTAACCTTCACAGTTCAATCACCAGTAATTTTCAATACATGTTGATTGTATGTCTGATCAAAATGAAACTGAAGAAGCTTTTACAATTCTTCAATGTCTTTACCATTCGCTTTAATGATTAGTGCATAAATTTGAAAAATAGTGGTATTAGCTGGTCTTCCTTATAGGCATATGGATATTATCCTATCACAGATAATATCATACTTCAAGATAGATCTGAACTACGCTTTTGGGCAATGACTGCAATGCCATTCTTCTTCAATTTATCATTCCTGGCATAGTAAACCATAAGATTGTCTGACTCAAAATGGTCAAAACTTATTAATGGATGTTTGCAGCTCTTTCCTCTCATTTTGAGTTATGCCCCATCAACAAATGAAGGTCCCAAAAGTTTTGGTTCATCCACGTCATTAAGTTGGACTCTACTTTTAGAAGGAAGCTCTTCCTCAGTAGTATTTTGAGTGCCTTACAATCTAAGGGGCTCACCTTCCAGTACTATATTTCACACTGTCCTACTGCTATTCACAGATGTTCAACAGCTAACCATTCAGAAGTGGTCCTCCTCTCCTTCTTCATAGTCTGTCTTAGTCTGGACGTTCCACTCAAATGTGTCCACCAGGGGTGATGCAGCCGGTATTTTAAATACCTGGGGTACAGCTTCCAGCATCACAGTAACACACAAGCCACCACAGTATAAGAAACTGACAGACTAGTAGTGGCTGCTTGCCAAGTACTCAGCTCTGACTCATGGCAGCCTAATAAACAACAGAACAAAATGTTACCTGGTCCTGAGAGATCTTCGTGATCACTGATAAACTTAAATCCATTTCTGTGGCTATTTTGCCAATCCTTGTAAGACTTTGAAGATTTGTAATAAATACTATAGGCTCTTGCATCCTTACAGTGCTAAGTTATTAGGTAGTATGGGAAGGGACAGCTGCTAAATATTTTTTAAATCCTTTCAATAGTCTTTGTCTTATTTTATCTACAAATATTTTTATTTATTACAAGGTTGTAACTTGTAAGTCATCTAAAGTCCTTTTGGAAGTAAGGAAGGTATTAACTGAAAACAAATATACTGAGTTTTATAAAGAAACTAAGCATAAGCAAATCAAATAATTATTCAAAGTATAAAGAGCTGGTTTTAATCCAGGAAGTTATTCATAAAAACATATTAAATTTTTTATTTTAAAAGATTCAGTGAATCTTCGAAATATCATAAAGAAACTTCACTTTGGGGGAATAAGGGTTGGTTGAAAGTTTAAGTGAAAGAGACATTCACTTTTCATAATTTTTTTTTAATTGCTTGAATGTTTTAATATTTATATGGGCATTTCCATTTATCTGGAGAAAATAAAACAAAAAACTTAATACTCTTATTTGGGAACATAGTAGACTTCATCACTGACCAAAGTACAAATAAAAAATATAAATTCTTACTTCATTTATAGAACTCAAGTTTTTTGATACAGATTTCCCCTTAGTCTAAATTTGAAAGTAATGAGTTTGATTCAAAAGTTGCCTTAAGACTTACCTGTTGTCAGTTACTGCAGCAAGACCAGCAATATCTAAGATGGCAGAGCCTTCAGAGGAGCGAGCTGCTGAGGGCTTATTGGGGTTGTGAGGAACTGAAGAGCCCTCATGGGCCAGCATGCCGGTTCCCATCATCCTCCAGAGTTGAGAGCGCTTTCCAGGTTCCTGTTGAACAGATGTACACCGAGTCAGGAAAAGACATCATCCAGCAAGTTCTTCATTAGCTTTATTGAAGGTCTGAACTGGACTGAGACATTTCCTCACATCATACACGAGAAAGCTTCAAAAAGTCATGAAAAAATGGAATTGAAAGATACGGAAATTTTTTTTATCCAGTCAGACTGACCAGTTCACTGACTCTCTCACCAGGTAGGAATGAGCTCCTTCAGAAAAGACACTTCTGGGTACTATGAGCTCATGAACATTCTACCTCTGCACTGGAAGGACAAGCTTCTGACACGCCATTCTACAAAGGCGTATGTATCACTAGGAAGGCAGCTAGTACAGTGGCTACAAGAACCATGAATGCTAGAGTCCAAATGGAAGCTCAACTAGCTGTCCTATTTACTAGCTGAGTGGCCTGGGACAAATTATTAATATTTACATTACATATCAACATGCAATATTTATTCATTACAAATGAGAAGCCTGGCAGATACCACCTTAATCAAGAGTTCAACATGCACATTGCCAGTAATGGGACAAAGCAAAACCCCTCTAGGAAATGACTGCCAAAGAAATACAAGCAAAATTCTCTTCAGAAGAAAGGAAGGTTGAGACTTCATCTCATGTAGTTGGAACCAGTCCAGTCCCTGTTGAAGGATCCCAGGCTTGGTACAGTAGAGGATCAGTAAATAAAAGAGGCAGAGACTCGATGAGGGGACAGATGGACAACGTAGCTACAAGAATGGACAACCACACAGCAACAATTGTGAGGATGGCACAGGACCGGGCCACTACACTACGACACCTCAACAACAGCTAACCACAATCAAGAGGAAATACTAGGTAAACTCACATTGAGGATCTGTCTACAAAATAACTGGTCTATGATCTTCAAAAGTAGCAAAGTCAAGAAGATCAAGACTGAAGAACAGTTCCAGGACTGATGGAGACCCACCAAAAGCAATGTGTGATTCTAGAGTGAATCCTTTTGCCAAAAAGGACATTAATGGGACAAATGGCAAAACTTGAATGAAGTATGAAAACTGGTTGGTTGTTTTGGTAAGAGAATCTCCTTGTTTGTAGAAAATACATACTTAAGTATCTGTGAGCGATAAAACAATACATCAAATCACTTTTAAATGTTTTAAAATAAAAAGTTCTTTGTTCTACTCTTGCAACTTTTCTGCAGTTGCAAGTTCTGACATTGTATCAAAATATAATACAATAAAACCAAAATAAACTAACAAAAAACGTAAGCTATCAAACTTGCTATTCTTGGTTTCTATTTTAAAAGACAAGTCCACTTCTTAATGCTATGCATTCAATTCTGCCTAGTTTTTATATGTCAACGTAACTCCTCTTATCATTTATCTTCTTATTTCCATTTTCATCCTCATTATTACCTGCTCTGGCCACATTGTACTATCCTTTTCTCTAGAAACCAGACCCAGTGCATAAACATTTCCCTAAACTCACCTGAAAAGAATGTCACATTAATTCCCCCCACCCCTTTTAATGCTGACTTCCAACTTTGCAATCAGCATTTAAAAAAAGAGAGAAATCTGTCAATCTGAAATTTTTAAAAGTCAGTTTCAGGAAGTATTTCAACAGAGTGGGTTGGACTTCCTAGGGTGGGAAGAACACCACACTGCAGCCATCAAGACGCCTGCATTTTGCACCTTGAACAAGACTTTCAACCTCCCTCAGCCCCCATTTCCTCATCTGTAAAATGAAAAGTTTGGACTTTGAGGGCCCTATGAGTTCTGGCCTTTATAGAGCCAAAGAAATAATTCTTTACTCTAAACTCCAGTGTTCTCAGCCCGCTTACCTTCTTCTTTAAAATGACTCTTTGTGTCTTTGGTGAGACATCCAAGACGAGCTCTGAACAGGTGATGGCCTTGTGGGAAGGCACAGGTCTTCCTGCTGCTTCCTGCAAACTGGAATTCGATAAATAAATACATACACACACGTGCACATATTCTAGATATGTAACAGTTCATACTCTATTTTAAACACAGAGGTATACACATTGCACATGTGCATATATATGCACACAAAAGTACTAAGAAGCAAACACCCAAAATCTCTATTAAAGAATATTGGGGGGAAAAAAGAAAGAAAAGGGCATGCTGGAAAAGTTGGACTCAGGAAGCAGAAAGATCAGTATTATTTCTCCTGCACAGTTCAAGGGTTCATTTGTCAAAAGACATAGTGTGACATTATCTCCCTCCTCCGGATCACTGCAGTGGTAAACAGATAATTACATATCAAGCAGGTGCAAAACAAAAACAAAACCAAGCCCGACATCTCAATGGAATTCTTTGCCAGGCAGAAATCAACATCATTGTGTCTGCCAGCCTTGGCAAGAAAGCAGGAGTCCTCTAGGATGAAAAGAAAATAAATGATTCACAATTACCTTCCTCCAAGTCAATCCTGTTGTGTTTCTATGTGACCTGAAAACCCTAACCTTTACAGGATGTTGTTACCTAGCTAGTCTTTGAGTGGTGGATGAGGTTAATTTAGATGATTCTCCTGCTTCCATTAATAATGATTATCAAAAAAAGGGAATTGCTAAATTCAGTGTTAGAAAACCAGTCTTCTTTTCCCATCATAAGTTCCCTCTTTGACTGCAAAGACATAGTACCTAATTTACTTCAAAAGATGGTTCAATTTCTTAGCACATCAAGAGTTCCAGAAGCTCCTCTTTTACCTGCTTCCCATCTGTTCAACCAAGTTAGTGAAGACTCCTCCACAAAGAGTCTTCAGTTATATGGCTTAGTCAAAAAGGAGAAGACAACATGACTAGCAATCAGATTTAAAACTCGCTTCTCAAGCACTAAAAGGTTGAGCATACCACACTGTTGAGTATTATAATATTTAAACACAAAACAAGACTGGTGCGAGTGTGGTAGTGAGCTACATCATTATCCAGCACCAACATTACCACAGCAAACTGCAACAGACCAGGAAAAAGGTGGCTCTCCTCAGCAAAGACGCTCATTCCAGGAACTACTACTAGTCCAAGCTCAGCTCGCGGTCGATGAGAACCACCGCCTACGTACTCAGAGATTACTTGGTGGGCCTTGGGTACATAAAAAACAACATTCTGGAAAAGGAACCTGACTTTAAATGTCCAGGTCAGGAGATATCTATTTGTGATACTAAATACTCAGCTATGTCCAACCCTCCTCCCACTCTTTCTTTTGTCACAGAAAACATTTCAAACTTGGCATTGTAACTATAGCGCAGAAACAGTAAACTCTATCTACATATTGGGAGAATGACTACTTTTTGAAAGCTCAATATTTTGAGTGGCTATATGCCAATCTACATAACAATCTACCAGGAAAATTAGAGTAAACTCACTGATCTTCATCTGAGCTTTTGAAACACAACTAATCAGATGACTATAAAGATTGTGATTCTATGGCAATGGGCATTACTATGATCCTAAGCTCCTTTGTTTGGTTTTAGGAGACTATCAAGACATTCCCTTACCAGTACTAACCAGCACTCTCAAAAGGGGAGGAGACTTAGGATGACTCCAATAATTTTAATGGAAGATTAGTCAGATTCAAATGAGGAAACCAGCAAGATAGACTTATAAACAGCAGCAAGAAAGGTCCTAACAATATTTCAAATGCTCTAAAGCAAGAGGCATATTCAATATTTAAAGAATAATAAATACCTTATAGAAAATGTTGTTAAACACTAAAATGGATTATTGAGGGGAGGCTTTATAAAAAGGAGGCATCACTTTGGATACATTTTAATCCAGTCACAAAGCAAGGGTTTAGACTGGATGGCCTCTCAAGATTAGGTCCTGAGGCCTATGATTGGTGGTAACGAATGAAGGCATCTTCCTGCACACTTTGATATCCCGAGAAACTGCTTACAATTTAACTGCTGTCGTTGTTACATGCCATGGAGTCGGTTTCAGACTCATAGTGACCCTGTACAGGGTTTCGGAGGCTGTAATCTTTTCAAAAACAGAAGGCCTCATCTTTCTCCTGCTCAGTGTAATATCAGTTAATAATTAGAAACTTCTGCTTCCCAGGAATTGTAATTAACCCAGAATTACCCAGAGAACGTGTATGTAGCTGCAATGTAAATGAAATTCTCATAGTAAAGCTGTCGGTTGTCCTGGAAATCATTCATGTTACAGTTGATCTCAGAGGAACCTGCCCCTTTAACAGTCAAAGTGATGAAAGGTGGCAGGGTGGGTTCATCCCATGCGTAATCCAATGAAGTCAGGGGCTTCACTTCAGTCCGTAGCCTGGGCTCAGCCACACTGAGCTGAGTAAAGACAACTGGGACCTAGAGTAATGGCACAGAGGACAAAGAGGACTTTCATCAAGAGAGTGTTGAAAAGTGAGTCAGTGCTTCCTTAGTTTATGTTCCAGATCCTTCCCAAATGAACTTATCTAGGGAATAAACCACCAGTGAGCTTTATCATCTCGCCTCTACAAATGCTTGTCTGGTTATCTTTCAGATTCCAAGAAGCCCACCCATTCCAGGATCTGGGCTACAGTCTGTTAGATAAAGGAGCTCTAAGAAGCTTTGCCAGGTTAAGAACATAGGGAGAGCAATTCTATCCTTTCAGTGGTATCTCTTCTATCTCGGAGCCTCTGTGTTGCACTTTCAAAGCCACAGAATATGAGACATATTGTTATTCAAAGGCATACTTCAAAACATAGGATCTAATGATTTCTATTTGGACTTGGCAAGCTTAAGAAAATGTTCGCTGTAGTTATGCAAACAGTAGAAGTGACCGTTCCCATAATCACTGCACGACGATTCTGATTCCTCTGCTCATATGAAAGTCTACAGAGGACAGCATGTCAACCAAACACTCTAGTCAAAATAAGTTGGTTTATTTTAAGGGTGTGTGTGGGGGGCGGGAAACGGACATAAAGACTTACTCTGGCTCAGCAGAAACTATCTGCAAGGGGAAGAAATTTTAGAGTCTCCAGCTACAGCCATCCCTGCCGATCTCCTTTGAAACCCACGTTTACAATGTACTTCCTCATTATCTTAAGGACATCATATGCTCTGCCCTCCTGCATGTGAAACTTAAACTAGCTCTCAACACCACTTCCTACCTTGGAAAAGTTGTCAATTCGGAAGGGAGGGGGTAATTGATCTGTGTCACTGAATGAGATCCTATAGGTAGCTCCTCGGAGAGTAATTTCCACTCGTAGGAAGAAGCATTTTCCCAGGGTGTCTCTGCAGAAAAAGGAAAGAAAGACGCTGCATAAAATGGCGGAAACACAAGTTGCAGTTTACTGTCTTCTCATACTCTCCACAACTGCAATTCTGAGCCTGAATCAACGCCGAATGGTGAAATACGCGGCCTGTGATCATGCTAAAAAGAAGAAACTGGTAACTCCTGAGAGATTTTGAACTTTTACCTAATGGGTTGATTTTTGTACTAGTGTTAATTTAACAAATGAGTAAATACTGCCTAAACTACATCAAACTGCTGATAGTTGACTTATTTTTTACCTAGAAAAAGAACGAATTCACAGAGCTCAAGCTAATATCCTGATGTTCCGCTGATAACCAGAGTTCTCACAGTAGAATGAAGGAAGACACCACAGAATTCTGTGGAATGGAGACACCAGTGTGGAATCAAATTTTGATATATATCAACGGAGGGAATGGAAAGATCTTCTTTATGAAAAATGTTGTTGTTAAGTGCAGCCAAGTTGAGTCAGTTCTGAATACAATGACACTGTATAGGGTTTCCAAAGAGTGGCTGGTGGGTTTGAACTGCCAACCTTGTGATTAGACTCCAGTACTTATTCTACAGTACCATATCAAGGCCCCTTAAAAAGGATATTTACAACTAAATGTAGAAGAAATAAGAAATTTAGGAAATCACCATTTGCCATCATTAATGAGTCCTGATGTGGCGCTGTAGGGTAAGCACTGGACTGCCAACTGCAAAATCGGCAATTCCAAGCTACCAGTCAAATCCTGTACAGGGTTGCTGTGAGTCAGAGCCCACTTGAAGGCACTTCCCAACAACAACAATGTAACAACTGGTTCAGGCAAGGATCACCAAAACACTGGGCAAAAGGTTTTCAGGAAACAGGAAATTCAAACATCCCACCAGTGAATTACTCTTATTTACAAAGAAGACAAGTAACTTTACAACATAGAGAACTGATGAACACTTCACCTTAACTCTGTGATGATCATAATTAGCAACACAATAATGGGACCAACAGACACTGCAGACCTCCTACATACTGCTGGGAAGCTCACAACATCACAGGGCAGTATTGCCAAAACTGTTAGATTACAGTCTATACACAGGAAACGATCAGACAAATCCAGAAAACAGAACATACTATAAGAGAACTGGCTTGGGATGCTTCAAAAATGCCAATGCTAATAAAGGAAAAGAAAAAAAGTGGACTGTTCTAGATTAAAGGAGATGACAGATACGGCCACCAAATACAATGCGTGACCCTTGACCAATCTTAGGCCAGAGCAGTTAGGTTGCTATCAAGAATAATTTAAAAGAATGTTTATTAGAAAATATTAAATCAATATTTCATCAGTGTGTTATAATAATATATTTATGATTAAGAAAATAACCTTGTTGTTAAGTGATAAATGCTGAAGTTCTAGATGGCTAAAGTATCATGATTACTAAAATTTATTAACAAATAGTTCAAGAAAAAACGTGTGTGTGTGGGTGTGAAGAGAAATAAAGAGAGGAGGAAGAGATGATAGGAGGGAGAGAGGGAAGGGAAAAGAATACAGCAAAATGTTAAAATTGGTAAATCTACAGAAGAGATAGAGGGATACATATTCCTTGTTCCACTCTTTTAACTCTTTAGGTCTAAATTGTGTCAAAATGACTGGAGAAAGGACAATATTGTATGAAACTACTATTGTAAAACTACCAGCCGCTCCGCGGGAGAAAGATGAGGCTTTCTACTCCCGTAAGGATTTACACCCTCGGAAACCCTGTACAGGGTCGCTATGAGTCGGAACCGACTCAACGGCACTTAACAACAAACAACAACAACTATTGTAAAAACTCAAGAAAAGGCTTTCATGCTAAAAGAAATACGAGGGATAGGAGGGAAGGGAAAGTAATCCACTGTTTCGAGGGTAGACACATGCTAGCTCAAACGACAGGGAAGGCAATGTGCAAAAAGATGGAGGCTGACAGAACAAGGATGAAGACAGATGAAGACACAGGAAGGCAAAAACGGGATAGAGGTAAATGGTGTTATATACACAATCTTGGAACAACAGACACACAGGCTGATCAGGTAAGGGAGGAAGAGGGGGCGTATACTCACAAATATATAATGGTTTGAAAGAGGATGACTGTACTTAGGTATTTATCTTTGCTGCAAACAAACTTATGAATGCAGTGGAGCATCCAATAAGCAAAATGATGCAAACTTCTTAGATATTATCAAATTTCTTAAGGCAATGAGTTGCTGGGTCTCGGGGCTCAGGACCATGGTATCTTAGGGGATACCATGGTCAAGTGGCATAACGTAGTCCACAACCACAACGTTCTAGATCCTATTTTGGTGAGTGGCATCCAGGATCTTAAAAGCTTCTGATCAGCCATTGAAGTCACAAGCACTGGTCTCCCCATGATGAAAACTGAAGATGCTTAGAACCAATGATTCCAATAAGCTAATGGAACATGTAAGCATCGGTCTCCACTACTTTAAGATCAAAGTAACTAGAAGGTGCCTGGCTACTACTACCAACTGCTCTGAAAGGGGTCACATTAGAAGGTCCTGGATAGGGTGGGAGAAAATGTGGAACAAAACACAAAATGATTGAAAGAAAGGAAAAAAAGAAAGAAACAAACAAACACTGGGTTTTCCAGTCAGAAAGAAAATGGGAGCTCAGGTCTGGAAAGCAACTCAGCCTTGTGGCCCAATTTTCAGCCAAGCAATTAGATAGGTATATAGTGGAATAAGAACACTAGTAAGGTATGCTCACCATAGAGTGGTCAGTCACTCAAAATCAAAAAGGCAACAATTACCTAAGGACAAAGTTGAGAAAGGATGGGAAGGTGGATGGAATGAAAAAAGGAATCACAGGCAAGTAGTACGGTAAGTGCTGTTGTAGGCAGGGGCTTGAAACCATTGAAATAAAACTAAGTGAATCTTTGTTGAATGTAAAACTGATGATGCTGTCTGTAACCTTCACTTAACTCACCCACAAAAAAAAAAGGGCTGGGGGAAGTAAAAGAACTAGAAGACCTAGTTCTGTCGCCAGTAGCTTAGGGTCTGCACAATAAAACACCTTAAAAAACATTAACCATGGCATGTAAATCATCTCTGTGCCCTCCTTTTCCTTCTAATGTAGTAACCATGAGTAACTTTCTTGCTGATTCCCAAACTGGCATCGTCTTTACATGCAATAGAAGACTGTACCACCTCCACCCACTGGTAGTATATAAAATGAAAGTTTTAGCTGCAGAACCCGCCCTCTCACCTATCTTGGTTTTCTAAATAAACACTGTGAGAAACACAATACACTAATAGACACAAATTCTGGCTGACGTAGGGTTGAGGATGCTGGAGTTGACACCTAAGAAGCCACTGTGGAGCCCTGGTGCAGCACTGAGGGTTAATGGTACGGGATTGCCAAGCGTGGGTTGAACGCTAGATCGGCGGTCCAAGCGCACCAGTTGCTCCTTGGAAACCCTATACAGGGTCACTATGAGTCAGAATCAACTTAATCGCACTCAACAACAACAAGACGCCACTGTTCTAGAGCATACAATTTACTCTAAGTGTTAAGGGTAACCAAAATGAAGAAGTGCACACCACTGACCAAAAACATAACAACAAAAACAAAACCATTAAATCAGCTAATACATTTTAAAGTTTCAAGTAATATTTAAATTATCTAGTTTTGATTTTAAGGAGGTCTGGTAGTGTAGTAGTTATGATTCGGGCCGCCAACCTCAAGGTCAGCAATGTGAAACTATCAGCAGTTCCATGGGAGCAAGATGCTTTCTGCTCTGGGAAAGATTTACAGTCTCGGAAACCCTGTACAGAGTCACTATGAGTCAGAACCAACTCCAAGGCACATAACAACAACTGGTAGCATAGTGGTTATAAGTCGGGCTGCTAACCACAAGGTCAGCAGTTCAAAACTACCAGCAGGTCTGCAGGAGAAAGATGAGGCTTTCTGCTCCCATAAAGAGTCCACTGTTCCATCCACTGTGACAGCCATGTCACTGGGTCTCCCTCTGTGTTTGTTGTTGGCCCTCTACTTCACCAAACATCACCTCCTCCTCTGCCAATTGATCCTTCCTGATCAGTTCCAAAGCAAGCAAGTTACTCCATGCTGTCTTGTGACCCTAAGGTTTTCATTGGTTAGTTATGGGCAGCAGATTGCCAGATCTTCCTTCATAGTATATCTTAGTCTGGAAGTTCCACTAATACCTCCAACAAGGCAGGACTCCTTTTAGTTTGAATACAGCCTCTGAACTTACCTCATGTTGATATGGAAGGAATTATTCTTGTTGACCTCAAAGCCTCCAGACCAAATACAATTGGGAACATCCATCAGTCTAACACATAATAACTGATCATAGTCATTCCGAGGCCAGTGGAAGACCACACTGGAACCAGGAAGGGTGGAAATGTAACCTTCAGGATTGGCTGTTCCCTAAAACACACGAGATCACTGGCTTTAGTCAACAAGTCAACATAGCAAATGTCTGGGTCTTGCCTGTGTGAGGGGGCTTCAAATTGCACTTGGAAAAATTCCATTATCTTTTCATTTTCCACACAAACTTTTGAAAGCCCCTTCATACCAGAGGCCACCTAGAATACCAAAGGCACAAAATGGTTATTCCCATCACAGACCAGCCTTGACGGGGAAATAAGCCAGCCTGTGTAAACTCACTGTGCTATTATGAAATAAGTACTAGTCATTCATTCTTCAAATGCAAATGCTTACCTGTCCCCTGGCAAATTCCCTCTGTGCAAATGCAAGCTTGTGAGAGGATTTATTATCTAACAGGTAACGGGGGGCAAAGATGACCATACAGGTGTCAACATATCGACCTCGGCCTTTCTTGACATCAATACCTGTGAATAAAAAGAACCAGTTTCATGAGTTAATCAGAAGAAAGGAAGTTCATGGACTGACAAAAATAATTAGGCTTCTCAGTTATTTTGTTTCTCTGAGAGAACAACTGTATCACCCAGAGAGGGCATTAAGCTTCCCAAGAGCAGAAGGAAATCAAAACATCCATTCAATATAGTATTCTTTATTCACATCAGGCCTACAACTCTCAGTGGCAATATCAGGATCCCCATAGTGCTAAGTTTCTTCACAAAGTGTATACCATTGTAACAGCGATGAAAAGGAAAAGAAAGAAAATGGGAAACATCAATGGTATCTGCCGCAGCCGCTCCTGGGAAACCCTACATAGGGTCAAGATGAGTCAGAACTAACTCAACAGCACTTAACAACAACAATCTTAAAAACTGTAGGGTTAATTTTTTAAAACTTACAAAACTCAGTGGAACGAACTATTCTCCCATTCAGACAATAAACACAGTGACTATATACTAGGCACTGGGTTGAGCTCTGATTATACAAAAATTAAAAAACAAATTTATGGTAGAAACATTGAAAAGAATTTTAACAATAATAGTAATATTTACTGAGCTCTAATAACTGCTAAGCCCTCAAATTTAATCTTCCTAACAATCTTACGGAGTTCCACATTTTAAATTATTTCTATTTTACAGATGAGGAAACTAAGGCATGGAAAGCTATGTAACTTGCTGTAGGTCACACAGCTCGTAGGTGACAATGCTGGGATTCAAACCCAGGCAACCTGACTTGGGAACCAGTTCCCTCAGATGACTTACTCATAGTGTAAGGAGATCCATACAAGGACCCTACTCAGCAGACAACAAGTATCAAGAGGACGATTAAAATGGAAGATTCCACATTAGGATTACAAACTGGGCTGCTAACCACAAAGTCAAGAGTTCAAATGAAGCTTTCTGCTCCTGTAAAGAATAAACAGCCTTGGAAACCCTATCCAGGGTTGCTATGAGGAAGAACCAACTCACTGGCACAACACCACAGCCACCACATTAGGTAATGACAACTATGTGACTACAAAATTTACCAATATAATCTCAGTCATAAATGTTCCAATCTACTAACTCCATAATTAATTTGTACTAGTCTGAAAAATATGTTTTTCCTTTAACATACACCTCAAAAAATACTTAAACTATGGAGTCGATCACAAAAACAAAAATCTCTGCAACTCCTGATGTAAGAAATGTAGCGCTGTAAGATCAGCACTGGACTGCAAACTTCAAGGTTGCAGGGCAAAGGCATCAGTAGCTCCTTGGAAATCCTGTACAGGGTCACGCTGAGTCAGAACAAACAAGACAGCACGTAACCACAACAACATCTGATTGCGTTAGGTGACAGAAACAGACATCATACTTAGCTTATCCCACCCAATGCAGGCTGGCCTGCAAAGTAAATGTTCCAGCTAAATTACAGAAAAAGTCTACAGTAGGACGCATGTGAAGTTTTGGAAAAAGGCTGGGTTTTTGTTTCTTTCTTTATTTTTTAACTTTAGACTGCCCTGACAAAACTCCTACAAAGCTGGCTAATACCATGCACAAAATCCTTCTTTTTAGAGGTACATGGTCCTCCCTGGACAGTGCTTTAAACATTCTGTAGGGAGTTAGGCTATCTATCCAATTCTTCAAAACATTCAAGAGATGCCATAAATTCCCTTAATAATAATACATGCCAACATCTCATAATCCATAAGAATCATAAAGTCCCATCCCAACAAGTTTGTTTCCTCAGTGCCCTGAGTTGACAGGAATGGGCAATCTAAACACTGGCTATCAAAAATCTAGGCATTGGCTTAAAAGACAGCAAGTTGCTAGCTGACAAGCTTTCATGAGTGTGCTTAGTTTCAGAGCAAGGGGGGAAGGTAGAATTCCCACTGAAAAGTTTTACCATGGTATTTTCTATGATCTCATATGCATGTTAAAGTTGGACAATGAATAAGGAAGACTGCAGACGAATTGAGCTTTAGAGTTATGGTGTTGGAGCAGAAAAATAAAAGTATCATGGACTATTTCAGGACTAGAGGACCCTCGGACCAGCAAGAGGGAAGTATATGAGTCGAGTGTGGGATCCTAACCAGAAAAGCAATGACAGCAGACAGTGGCAGAGGCAACGGCATGGGGACACAGAGCAGCTGCCTCCTCTAGGCCCATGGACTGAGTAAGGCTGTGTGCCTGAGGGCAGGAGGTTGGCTTGCAGAATATGCTCTTAGGACACATAAATGAATACACATTTTTTATTTTGTATGTGTACATTACATATTTTTGCTTTGTTCACGTATGAAATGTCAGATGTAAAAGGGAAGTAACAGGGAGGAAGTAGGATAACTATTGTTGCAGGGAGGGCATTGCAATCATTGAGATGAAAGAAAGTGTATAATGTGTTCAATGTAAAGCTGATGATCTTGTTTGTTAACCTTCACTCAAAAGTTGAAAAAAAAACAAAAAAAAAACCTATAGTAATCCACTTCTGTTCCTTTCCTTGGTGGCATGACAAAATTCAAATCATTGTCTTGTTTAATTCCATTTGTCCCTGAACTACTGTCCCCCCAAAACAGCAGTGGCTCTGTAGGATAAGCACTGGGCTGTGAACGACAAGGCTGGCAGTTCCTGTCCACCAGCTGCTCTATAGGACAAAGGTGAGACTTTCTGCTCCCTTCAAGATTTACAGCCTTGGGAACCTTATCCAGAGTTGCTATGCATCAGAACCAACTTGACAGCACTCAACAAAAGTCAGCTTAATTCATATTCCTTGCACATATGAGTGTATGGTTTACATGGGAAATCACTGTGTTTCTGACTAGAGTGCTCAACCTGCCTTAGTGTAAATTCTCTAAGTTCCTTAGTGCCTGCTATAATAAGAGGAACAAGAAGCATTTCCCTCTGAATCTGTCCCAACTACAGGGTCACTATGAGTCAGAACTGACTCGATGGAAGTGGGTTTGTTTGTTTGTTTGTTTTGTCCCTTTTGTTTTTGGTTTTATAGCTCCAACTTCATTCCAGAGGACCTGTGGTAGCTTCCTTTGGAAATTTTATCAAGGGCAAGAGACCCTAAGAGAAAGCCAAACACCACATGAAGCAGCTTTTGTCTATTCAAGGGGTGGAGCACACAAATTTGAGAAAAACTAGAGAAAATGATCCTTGGTTAGAGAATTAAATAAGGGTTATTCTTTTTTAAAAAACCCTGATCTCAACTTTAAGAAGACAGCTTGCATGTCAAGGTGGATTTTTTTTTTTTTCAATCTATAAACTACACTTGGAAGAGACTCTTTTACTAATAAATCATCTAACATGCAATTAATTATATCCCTCACCTCCATGGGATCAGGATAAATATCTAAATGTTATCATGTGAGTTTTTCTTGCTATATCATGACTTTTTATATCTCCACCATCCAGTAGACATATGAGGATGCTTTTTAAAAAGTTCATGGAAAACATCTACTATTGTTTAATTCCATTTGTCCCTGAACTTTTTGAAGCCCCCTAGGAGTCCTGGTGTGGCGCTGTGGGTTAATGTGTCAGACTGCAAAGCCGCTTGAACTGCAAGGTCGTTGGTTCAAGCTTACTAGCTGCTCCCTGGAAATCCTATACAGAGTCGCCATGGGCCAGAATCGACTTGATGGCACTTGACAACAACAAAACAACAGTATATGGCTAATTTAAACTTAAGACCATTTAATTTTTTTTAAATGGGAAATCAAGCTCCTTAGTAGCACTCACCACATTTCACATGTTTCGGAGTCACAAGTGACTGGCAGCGGCCATATTGGGTGTTACAAAATCTAACATTTCCATTGTCACATAAAGTTCTACTGAATTCTCATTTGTAGATGGCATTCCATAGCTCAAGCCTTCACACTGCTATGGGAGCCTTGGAAATTATATCCTAAATGAAGGCTGTAATGCTAACACTTAAAACCTAGTGTTTATCATGGTTTTCGGTTGCCGTAAAACTCAATTCCAACTCACGGTGACCCCATGGGTGCCAAGAAGAACTGCTCCATGAGGTTTTCAAGGTTGTGACGTTTCAGAAACAGATCACCAGGTCTGTCTTCCAAGGGCCTTTAAGCTAGCGTCCAGCACTTAATCTTTTGTACTACCCAGGGATGAGGCAATTCTTCAAAGTAGTCCAGGGAGGGCCTTGTCCACTCGTCTCCCCTGTGCCTCTCAAAATAAGGGTTTTGAGTGTCCTTAAGTGGCTGTGAGATACGTAGGGGGCAACAGCCTTCCACGTTCTACTTTCAAGATCTAAGGTAGTTTGGGGGTTTCCAATTACTGTAACCACCAAGTGATTTTTTTTTTTTTTGGATTTTTAGCCTCAAATTTTAATCCTATTTCTGACCCAGACTTCCCCTTTGCATCTGAGCAAGTCACTTAACCTCTGCTTCAGTTTCAAGGAGAACAATACTTCTTACCCTCTTAGGGTTTTCGAGTTTTAATGAATGCGTGGGAAATGCTTGGAGGATGAAAAGCATTCAAAATGTTCCTATTACTCCCCTGAAAAACAAAGATTCCAGCCAAACTGATACTTTCCTGACACAGGTGAGTTTGAAATTAAACAGAGCCCAGCCCTCAAAAGGGCAGTGTTTAGGTGGCTCTTTAGCTCCCTAGGAGACTAGATCTGCATTGATAGCAATCTAGTATTCAAAGAACAGATACTTGACCCAATGCCAATTGAGAAAATCAGCACTTGCAGCCAGGCCAAAATGTATAGCCAGCTTCTTCCTCTCCAAGCCTGGGGTCATCAGCTATTGGCTTCAAATCTGCCCCTGCTCCAAACCTAACCCACCAATGTTATAGATCAGTTCCGGGCGATTTCCTTGCTGACTGACGTTCAAAGGTCGGACACCATTACCACCATCCAGGGAGAAACCCTGACACCAGCCCGGCGTGCCTTCGGGATGAATTCCCCTTCCAATTCTCATCGTGCAGCTGTGGGGCAGAAAAGCAGAGAGGTATAGATTCATCCATAAGACAGTCACATCTACCGAGTATAAGCAGGCCACACAAAGGTGGTTATCACTCAAAATTCAATCTAATACCGACAAAGATTCAAGCCAAACTGAGGCTTTCCTGACCCATGTATTTCAAGGGTTCAAGAAAAAGCACAAGAGAAGTATGTACAGAGATGCAGCTAATGGATTTTTAAGGACTGTTACAATGACAGGCACTGTGAAGTTGATCAATGTCTTGCCATGAATTCTAGAAACTTAATTTCAAATGTATGATCCAGCTCTACCACTAACAAGCAAGGTGATCTTGGGCAGGGAACTCTCTCTCTCTCTGAGCCTGTTTCCTCATCCTAAAACACAACAATATTTCATATTCTGTTTGATCTATTGGGAAGCTGGGAAAAATCAGAAAGATGGTCTATTCAGAAATGCTTTGGAAAGTGTGCATTCTGCAGATAAAATGAACTGTGTTCCAAATACAAAATCCTACATGCAAAAATCCCAAAATCCTTTTTTTAAAAAAAAACAACGCGAGACTGGGCTTGCTGAACATGCCAAGTAGTTGTTTATATCTCTTACCACGTCCAGCACCCTCATCAATCCTCAGTCCTGGACTCCAGCACCAATCTAGATTCCAGCCCGCCCTAGCAGAGACATCTGCACCCACTGGAGTGTAATACTCTGTAAGTTTTCTTTTGAAGCTTTCAGCACAAAACTAGGTATGGCATTTTAGCAGTACCAGATATACCCATTTATCTTTGGATTAAGGCTAAAAATCCAAAGAATCCTTTAGAAAGCAGAATGTGAATTCCAAGGACAAGAGTGAGTCACTGCTCCGGCCACACTTTAAGAGGGCATACTATCCAGCCCTCACAAGTCTCACTTTGCCCAGACTTTAAACATGCCAAGGGCTGCTTTGAAAATTTGAAATAGCACATTTTACTTCAAGGGTTGGGTTTTTGAAATGTATGTACCCAAGCTGATCTGGATTAGATGAATGGGAACTGAAGCTTTACCAAAGAGCTAGTCTATCTCCAATTTGATGTCAGCTCCTCTCTCTGTATGAAAAGCATACAGAGAGAGAGAAACTGCGGCAAAGAGAAGGGGAACCATGTGGGTTTCTCTTCACGGGTAGAGTTATGAATAGAATGACTTCAATACATGTAAAATAAAACGAGCTTAGTTTGCTTTCATTATAAACCAACCAAATGGTTTATTTTCCATATCAAATAACATAGAAATTAGATCCCCAAAAATCCCATTAGGTCATGGTTCTATTTCCCTGCCAAGTCAGGATTGTTATCTACAGCATATTTCAACTTACACGGATATACTATAGCCTTTGCTAATTTCTTCCCTTCCCTAGGAGCTTATTTCCCCTTCCCATAAATAACCATACTCACAGGTTTGGATGCTCTTTGTCAGCATAGCAGAATAAGAGAGGGCTTAGGCTCCGAGCCAGTTCATGTTCCTCAAACTGGCCTGCAGCATCTGTCTTTGTATTGTCCTGTCTGAAGATCAGTGGTAACCCTTTAGAAAGGAGGGGGAAAGTTTACAGCAATTCCACCTAGCCTATCCAAGGCAGATGCAAAATGGTAAAAAGGTGGGGGCGGGGGGGAATTGTCAAGCGAGCAAAGAGTGAAAATTGAATTTATTTAGTCAACTCAGTTCATTGTTTAAAAGATCAGTTTTGACCAAGATTAAGCACCTATTATGGAAGCAGGAGAGTTTCAGCAGCTTAGACTGTTGAAGTAATCTATTTGCATTGGCTCCATTTAGTGAGCTGAGCAAATAAATCTGAATTCCCAAAGCCAAGGCCAGAGATCTCATTGAGCAGCCCTTATACATACCTGTTTTGTTCATCAGCCAATATGGAGCAGAAATGAAGATCTTTAAGGACCCTTCTGCCCGACACACAATCCGGATCGTGAGGTTCAGCTGCCGCCGGTGGACGTCATACAGCCGCATTCTCACCATATAGTTTTGAGTTCCAGGTGGAATGAGTAATTCTTTACAGAGTGGGAAATTCTCCAGCGAGACCCCTAGAGAAGACACAGCCATTATCTTTCTGGGTCCTTGCCTTATTTTCTCCAAAGAGCCCAGCGCCAAACTCAATTGGTATTAGTTTCTTTTTGGAAAAACCACTAATTATATATTTAACTGGTGAACAACAACAACAAAACTCATTAGAATGGTCATTTTCCTCTATCAAGGAAAAGGATCAGTGTGAAGCAAACCAGGAACCTAAACAAGACTCTAGGGAGTCTGTGTAGAATAACTAGAAGAGACTCAAGGTACCAAGGAAGCTATAAATAATCCTTATTATTAAGATGGCACAGGACTAGGCAACATTTCACACGAGGGGGCTTCCAAAAGCTTGAGGAGAAATCCCATTATTTTCTCATTCCATTTTTCCATGAACTTTTTTGAAACCTCGTCACTTAAGGCTGCCATGAGTCAGAGGTGGCGCAATGGCAAAGAGCAGCACCAACCCCATAACAGGTCCTGTGCTAGGTGTCTGAGACACAAGTGATGCAAGTAGGTGGTCAGAGGCAATGTTCTTAGCCAAATGGCCTGACTCCAAATCCACAGGCTAAACTTCTTAGCCGTGTGATTTGGAGCAAGCTATTTAGCTTCCCTAAGTCTCATCTCAAGGTTTTTAATAAAAGCGACGCTCCATGGACAGCATGACCCTGAAGATAGAGAACACTGGGTGTGCTCAGAGCAGTGGTAAAGCAGGAGGACATCTCTATGTTATCAAGAGGCACAATAAATTACTTTTTGAAAAAATATATTAGATATCCACTAAAATGCCACAGTAAAGACCAATTATCTTTAGAATATACAACTAGCTATGTACTACTTTTCTAAACTGAGGTCAAGGGTTTACATAAAGATATGTAGATATATATGTATATAAGAAGCTCTGGTGGCGTAGTGGTTACGAATTGGCTGCAAACCTTAAGGTCAACAGTTCAAAACTACCAGCTGCTCCACGGGAGAAAGATGAGGCTTTCTGCTCCTGTATAGATTTACAGCCTTGGAAACCCTGTACAGGGTCGCTATGGGTTGGAACCGACTCAATGGCACCTAACAACAACAACAAGGAGCTCTGGTAGCACAGTGGTTACGAATCGGGCTGCGAACCCCAAGGTCAGCAGCAGTTCGAAACTACCAGCCATTCCGCGGGAGAAAGATGAGGTTTCTGCTCCTATAAAGATTTACAGCTTTGGAGACCCTGTACAGGGTCACTATGGGTCCGAACCAACTCGACGGCACATAACAACAACAATGTACATGTGTATGTGTATATATACATACATACAAACACACATATATATCCAACTGTGTGGTTCAAACCGACCTTGTGGTCCAGTGCATTATCCCACAGTGCCACACCAGGAATCGCAAGGTCAGTTTGAATTGTAAGGTCGGTGGTTCATGCTTACCAGCTGCTCCTCAGAAACCCTACAAGGGTTCTCTATGAGTCAGACTCCACTTCCAAGGAGTGGCTGGTGGGTTTGAACCAAGGAGCTCTGGTAGCGTAGTGGTTATGAATCGGGCTGCGAACCTTAAGGTCAGGAGTTGGAAACTACCGGCTGTTACATGGGAGAAAGAGGAGACTTTCTGCTCCCGTAACAATTTACGGCCTCGGAAACCCTGTATAGGGTTGCTATGAGTCGGAACCAACTCCACAGTACATAACAACAACAACATATATATGTATATATATATAGATATACACACACGAAAAAAAGATATATAAGCTTGTCAGGTTCCTCACCTGTAAAATGGGAATAATGAAAGATGGGGCTATTGTGATGAGCCAATGAGTGAAGGAACTTACAAAACTATAAAAAGATAGATATCAAAGCTATGAGTATTTCAACATGTCTGTGTAGTGCAATGGCTAAGCACTCACCTGCAGACCAAAAGGTTGGCAGCTGGAACTCACTAGTCACTCCACAGGTAAAAAGACCTGGCAATGTTAAAGAAAGAGTGCAACCAAGAAAAGTCTGTGGGGGCAGTACTACTCTGTCACATGGGGTCCAACAGCATACAACAATGGCAGTCTAAGAAACACTTCCTGCTAAGTTCCAGAAGTCCCTCTTTGCTCTGAGTGCTAGAAATATGATTCTTTATCCAGACTTTGGAGTCCTGGTGTGGTACTGTAAGATAAGCACTGAACTGCTTACCGTAAGGTCGGCAGTTCATGCCCATCAGCCAACTCCTCAGAAATCCTATACAGGGTCACTATGAGTCAGAACCAACCCGACAGCACTTAACAACAACAACCCTGACTTCACTTAGCCTTACAACTGAAAATTACTTCATGCATAAATACTCCAAACCTCACATTTCTCACTAGTACAATGTACCTGACAAATCTCTCTTGCTGGAAGGATTACACAAGATCAGGGATGGCACAATGCCTGGAGCACAGTGTGAGCCTATGCTTAGTTAGTGGATGCGTTTCCTTTCCTGAACAGAGAAGGAAGGGCATAGGATTTTGCTCACTGTGCAAGCAGCTTGACTTAGAGCTCAAAGGCTGCCAGTTCAAACCCAGCCCGAGGCACCTTGGAGGAGAGCCTGGTAATCTGCTTCCACGGAAACCCCTAAGGAGCAGAGTTCAGAATCAACATGACAGCAGGTTAACAGCAACAGCAGAGTTAGAAAAAAGTTTAGTAAAGGTTAAATGGCTTCCCTACAGTCATATAAGAGAGCGCCGTGAAGTACTTCCTCTGTGTTTCCTGTGGGTTTGATCAGTTTTGCCTTTGCTCAATTCTTTTAGCTTTTCAAAACTGCATTCATTCCTTTGAGCTAGTTTATTGAGATATTATATATATCACAATTTTTGCAAGATGTTAACAAAATCCTCATGTTAAATAATTACGAGATCAGACGCGGACTCCAGCCACCAGTCCCAGCGGCCTTTCGGCATTCTGAACTTTTGCCGGCCACTACGGGCAGCGACTGCCCCAACCCCTGTAGAGCTTTGAGGGCAGGGCCAAAGCCAGCCCAAACGGAGAATCTCAAGCAGACAAAAGCCACAGGAGAGTTCTCTGCCCTAGCTTGAAATCTCAAGGCATGTAGCAGGCAGGGAAAAAAAGTTTAACCAGGGCGCAGGGAGCAACAGAAATACGATGACTCTCAGACGTCATCAGACGCCTACCTCCTGATCGTAGCAATAATAACTACAACAAAATAAGAATGATCATGCCCAACAAGAATATCTAACATTATCGAAGCATCTCCAAAAGCAGAAAAAGGCAGCATATACAAATGAGCTGGAGTCAGACAAAGGTATTATAGAGGAAGAAGAGCGGGTTCTGGATTTGCCTGAGAGGGAATTCAGAAAAATGATATGGAAACAAATTCAAATACTCCGAAAAGAGGTTGAGGAAAACAAGGAAGAAGTAACCAGAATACTGCAGGAACAATCTAATAGGATTGACACAGCACTGGAAACAATTCAAAACCTGCAAAAAGATGTCCAGATGATCAATAATAAGATATCAGAAATAGACAATAGCCTGAAAGGGGAAAGGAGCAGACTAGAAGAGATGGAAGCCAGAACTAGCGAGCTGGAAAACAAATCTGTCAGTACAGCCAATATACAAGAGCAAACAGCTAAAAAGATAAAACAATCTGAAGACAATCTAAGATACATGCTGGATAACATGAAGAGGAACAATGTAAGAATTATTGGCATTCCGGAACAAGAAGAATCAAGGAAATCTACAGAGGAGATAGTGGAAGAGCTTCTGAAGGAAAACTTCCCTAACATCTTGAAAGACGAGAAAATATACATTCAAGAAGCCCAACGTACCCCAGGAAGGGCAGACCCCAAAAGAAAATCTCCAAGACATATAATAATCAAGCTCTCCAAAACCAAAGACAAGGAAAAAATACTATGAGTGGTCAGGGAGAAGAGAAATATAACTTATAAAGGCAAACAAATTAGATTAAGTGCTGACTATTCAGAAAAAACATGCAGGCAAGCAGGCAATGGGGAGACATATACAAAACCCTGCAAGAAAAAAACTGTCAACCAAGAATCATCTATCCAGCAAAACTATCAATCAAATACAATGGCACAATCAAAACATTCCAGGATAAACAGAAACTGAGGGAACTCATTAAAACCAACCCAGCACTTCAAAACATCCTAAAGGGAGTTGGGGATGGAGAACCAACAAGAACAGACAACAAACAGAGATTGACAAGTATGGCAACACCATCTGGAACACAGTCGACAGAAAGCAGAGTCCAGAACGGAACGAGACTACAACAAACTCAAGGGAACCCAGAGATCGACTGAAAGACATAAACATGTCAACATCAAAGAAGGGACAAACACAGCAACAGAAGCAAAGGTGGTGGAGATGCCAGGTAAATTACAAGTTGTAATGGAATATCCTAAGTGCAGAGAAAAACTAGTAGCCTACAAGGTAATCCCAAAGAAAGTTAATACTCCACAACAGATCATGAACATGAATTCCCAAACAGAACAACCAAACAAAGAAGCTAGGAAGAAACCGACCAGAATCAACTCAAAAAACACAAACCCAATACAAGAAGGTAAGCAGAACCAAAGAATGAACACCACCACCAAAAAAGTAACACAATGACAGTAATTAACTCATACTTATTAATAATTACATTGAATGTCAATGGATTGAATGCACCAGTGAAGAGACAAAGAGTGGCAGAATGGATAAAAAAACAAGATCCATCAATATGCTGCCTCCAAGAGACACACCTTACACACAGACAAAAACAGACTAAGAGTCAAAGGATGGAAAACTATTTACCAAGCCAACAACAGCTCTAAACCAGCAGGAGTCGCAATATTAATCTCCGACAAAGTACACTTTAAGATAAAAACATGCATTTAAGAGACAAAGAAGGACACTATCTCATGATCAAAGGATATCAATTGAGCAAGAAAACATAACCATAATAAACATTTACGCTCCCAATGAAAGAGCACCATGATACACGAGGCAAACCTTAATGGAATTGAAGAAAGACATAGATA